TTTTTTTATTAGGACCCCTCACTTCTCCCCTTTTTTTGCAGAGATAAAATCACCCCTTCTTTTTCTAATATGAATTGTGTGTGTGCCGCAAGCTGGCTGGCCTTACCCCCCACCCTTGATTAATTGTTCCGAGAAGGCCGTTAATTGTATTGTACGATTTATTGTAGTTCATGCAAATCGTTATCTGAATATACAGCATTTCTTTATAAACCCTCCGAGTAATTATTGACAATCCCCCTCCCTCTCATTATTTCAGGCCCTCCCAAAAATTATAACAAATTTCCATTTCAGTTTTTGGAATATCGACAAATTCTACCGTATCGTGCCTTCGCCGGGAATTATTATATCTTAATTCCCCGGACAAGGTCACAGAACTTATTTTGAATACTGAAGTTCGACACGCATTGAGAAACTCATTGATTAATCAGCCGATTCCTATCCTCGTGGGTCCACTGAATGAAATTGTGACCAGTTACATCATTTTGGAGAACGTAGTTTACCAGGCTCCTTCAGTCCTACGTGATTTTGAATTGTGCTTGGAGATTTTTTTTCCCCTCAATTGTGAATATCCTCCAAGCGCTCAACCCTTCTGGATATTTTTTTACTTTAATATTACAATAATCAAAGACAAACCTTCCACTGCGCTGAAGTCATTAAGCGGCGAATTTAAGGCAGTTATTGAAGGCAATTAGATCAGAGTAAAATCTTCATTAGGATAAATGAATATCGTCGTGAATTGTTTTACTTAGTATTTTCCAGAATTCACTCTTCAACAATAGTTAATAGTATAAGTTGTTTTACACGATACATATTTAAATATTTTCGTGTTATTTCTGTAAACATCGTTTCAATGATAATAGGCAATTATTGAGTCATATTAATGATATTCACTCATTGGAAACTGTCTTTCGGTGTGATGAGAATGAGTGTGGAAGGAGCTATTCCATTTTTCGATCTTTTACTCGTCACAGATACAGTAAACATGAATTATCTATAAAAAATTCTCAACAAAATTCCAACGAAAATAACGTTGTTATCACCTTAGATACAGAACAAGAAACTGGAGAAGGACCGGAAAATAATGATATAATAAGGAATGATTCGCCCATTTCTAAAATTGACGTGTTTCCGGAATGTAATGGTGAACCTATAAAAACTGATCATAAAGATAACCGTAGTAATGATGAGTTACATTTTCAAGAGATCTGATTGAAATCAAGAGACTCTAACGAACTGTGACACAAAAATTCGGAGTGAATTGAATGAGCTCTACTCGAAACTATATAATATTATTACTATTCCGAGAAATAAGATCGACGAAATAATAACACATGTTTCTCATTTTTTCTTATTCTATTTCTGTTTCTAATTCTTATTGCAAGACTTCAACATAAAAATCGAGCATGAGTTCAGATCCACTTCCTTCTTTCCCCAAATCGTCGATTGTACTCGCAGAGTTTTTGATGAATCAGTATTATTGCTCGAAGAAATGCATACTGAGCAGCTTGGTTTTAGCATGTTTGAAAAACAAGGCACTTTCATATCCCCATATTAACGTACGTAAAATCGTTAGAAAAAAGTGGTACTTCTATTATACAAAATGTAATTCAAGCAAATTTGTGGAAGGAGAAAAAAGAAAAGTTTGGTGGTAAGTTTGTTCTGCCTATCTCCATTTCTTTCGACGATTTTGAGCCGAATAATGATCTGGGTAGTCACAAAGGCCTCAATAAGTGCGGGGCTATTTACGCCACTGTTGATTGTCTTCCACCAAAAATAAGTTCAAAACTACAAAATATATTTCTATTTCAAATATTCAATACATTGGACAAATGTGTCGGTAATCACATGCTATTTTGCAAAGTTGAAGAAGAGCTTGACTATTTGGAACGTCAGGAAATAAAAGTTTTAAATCATTCGGAACCCATTCAAATGTATTTTTCTTTAGCATTTATTCGAGGGGACAATTTAGGGTTGAATCAAATCTTGGGCTTCCAAGAAAATTTTTCTTCTAACTATTTTTGTCGCTTTGTTTAACGAATTATTTCGATATCAATAGTATTTTCGATGAACAAGACGGTGTTTTGAGGACTCAAGAGAACTACAAACTCCATGTTGAAATTGCAAATGCTAAATTAAGTGGTATAATTGAAGAATGTAAATTCAATAGTCCTGTGTGGCATGTTATTAACAATTTCGTTGTTGGTGTACCGCATGATATCCTTGGAGGTATTGATCGATACGACATGGCTCTAGTAATTAATAATTTTATATACAAAAAATATTTTACATTAGAGCATTTAAATATAATCTCACGCTCCTTCGAATATGATGCAAATGTCACGAATAGGGCAGTTGAAATTTCAAAGACTCAATTGAGAAATGGTTGAATAATTATGAGTACCCCGGAAATGTTATGCTTTGTTAACAATTTTTCTCTTATGGTGGGACACTTAGTGCCTTTGGAAGATGAGGTTTGGGATATGTTCCTTTCTTTGAAAACTATTAATGATATATGTACTAGTTCTTATATTTTAAGTGAAACTCCCGATGTTTTACGGATTGAAATCAATGAATATCTTGATTTGCACTCGGAATTATTCCCCAAATCCATGAAACCCAAACACAATCTACTCGTACACTATTCCCGCGTGATGAAAAATGTTGGACCTTTGTGGAATATTGGATCAAATCTCGCTGAACACAAGCATCAGGAAGGGAAACAGGCTGCGCGCGTAGCTCTCAGTCGAAAAAACGTTAGACGTACAATTGCAATAAGACTCCAATTACGCCTTCATTATCACTTAACACGTGAAAAACACTTACAACCAGTATTTACACTAGGTCCACAATTAACTAATAGTTTTGAAGCTAAATCGATAGCAACACTTATACAAAATGTTGATACAACAGATTTAATCACTTTGAAATGGATTAAAAGACAGGATGTGAAAATTAAAGAGAAAAGTATAATAATTTTCCGTCGTGAAGATAAGCCTATTTTTCATGAAGTTTACAGTTGTCATTGTCATCAGATGGACAATGATTTTTTTTTAGTTACTCGAGAAATAATTGATGTACATTTTGATGAACATTTCGATGCTTTCAATATTGCCAATTTTGATTATTCAGATTTTCATGTACGAAAAAAATCCGAGTCAAGTGTGGGTGCTGCGATGATAACATTCAAAACAAAATGTCAAAGGGGATGTTTCTACATTCCCATGAAACATATGTAAGCAAAGAAAAAAAGTAAATAAAAAAATGCATTCTCATAATTTACGGTGTTCTTTCAATTGAATAAGTAATAGAACAACAAAAAATGTATATACTTTTTTTTTGCCACTAAATAAAATGATTGTTTTTTTAATTTTATGTTTAAAAATACGAAATTATCTAAATTTAAGCTGATAATTATGCACTGAAAGTAAGAACATGTTGTTGTTTCTATTCATGTTTATTCCTAATTGAATTGAAATTTTATCCGAAGAAAGAAGAGATTTCCTGCATTAGCGACTCATTATTTTTACGATGTGTAATTGTTATTTATCGCTTCGAGTTCTCGTATATGTTTCTGACATTTTTCGGTTTTTGTTGGAACGGAATTTGCATTTTTTGCATTGTATGATAGGACAATTCTCTGAAATTGAATTCATTTTTCTTTCAACCAACACTGGAAATTTTCTTCTTCAATATAATAAAAATAAAAGGAATTGATTTGGAGTTATTCTTTTTATTTTCAGATTACGATTGACAATCGTAAAATGGCCAAATTTTTCGTGATGGTCCACCGTTCCAATTCTACCCATGCAATTTTACGATTCAAAAATCGTAAAATTAACGAAGAATATCGTTCCGTGTACTCTTTACATTGATATTGTAATGTCTACGATAATATACGAGATCTCTTCCGTAAAGAATTGCGAATGACTAACGATCATCTTATAACTATAATTAAACAATTCAATTTTTGTATTACTAATGTTCAACATCAGTAATGCCTTGACTACGAAATAGTTATGTTAAGTGTATTGAACTTCCTAGAAACAAGAACAAGAACTTCCTTCGAAAAGTCGTTTAGGAATGGTTTCAGTGGGTTTTCAACGTGCTCTTTGTATATAACTAAAAATAAATAGTAATGCATGGATTACATATTGTTACTCATCCGAAAAAACTACTTGAACAACAGCAAATCATAATAATCACTTCTCCATTTTTTTAGGACTCATTACTTTGCAGTTAGTTCAAGTCAAACAACTCTCATCGGAAGTAATAATCATATAAGTCACAGCTCAAAAATATTTTGTACTTGGCACCTTTCAATCCCTGTTATTTTTCATTGCAAAGAAATTTCGATTATTAATACTTCCATTTTCCACAGGAACAAATGTCTGTTCTATACGACCTGCCAGAGCAGACTAAAGTGGTCAACAGGGCCAAAAAAAGAAAATGTCATAATGTGACAATGGATCCCCAGTTCCTTTGCCACATGACCTCATGGCTTATGTTTATGTCTAATCCCAACATCTCTCTGTATGTTGATACATTTTTGAAACCATAGACTCATATAAATCAATTCGTAGAAAACTGAGGCTATATTCTAACAGATTTGTTCATTCCCCCTTTGTTGTTCTTTCCAAATTATTCTTCAAATCCTCCAATTTCAATCTTTTCTTCTCCAATTGCAGCTGTAGCAAATCATTTTTGAGATCCAATTTTTTGAGTCTCAGGCGTTCTTTATAGAGTTTAGTTCTTTTGATTTCAATGTTAATTTTGTTCTCTTCAGAACAGCTCTCGGTTTCTTGTTGGAAGTTGATTCCATCGTGCGGTGCATCAAGAATGTTTGGAGAAGAGCGAAACTGATTTTGCATGTCGATCCTTTTTTCCAGCTCTGCCTGGCGCTCCGATTCATCCTAAACAAAATTTGAAAAATTAGTAATGGTTTCAATGATTGCACGATAGTTAAGAGAAGTAATGTGTGTCACCTTCCAGGGAAGAGAGTTTTCCTCCACCTTCTTTAGGACGACAAATTCATGTGGCTGCACAAAGTCTGTATCCTCATTAATATCAACCACACCTTTTTTATCACCAACAAAATCTGCTTTCTTAATTTCTTGCTTCAGTCCAGTTGTATCGTCAGGCTTCAGTATTTTCATCATTTGCTCAGCTAGAGGTGAACTCACAGATTTTTTCAGGTTCTTCACAGACATTTTTGACCAGTCTGGAAGTTGCCCGGAGTCTCGAAGATATCTATGAATGGCCTGATTCCCTTCAATTGGATCCTCCAGTCCATCATCATCGTCACCCTCAATGAATAGAGGATCTGAATCATAGGGATTTTTGAGGGGCTCTACCTGACGTCCAATTACCTTTAATATTTCCTCCATGAGCGGGTCGGATTTGAAATTTTTGATGCCACCTCCTAAAATCGATAATAACTATTAGTAACTCCTCATTTTCGATTAAATACGTCCTCAGATCTAGGGAAGACTATCAAAAGTTTTACTAATCACGAAAAATGTTAGAATTTTTAACTGCAATATAAGAAATTCTGTACACGTACAGAGTGAAGAAGAGTGTCATGAACAGGGTCATACATTTTCTAAAAAATCTATCCAGCTTTAATGGATGTGTCATTAATGGACATAGACGTGTCATTTTTTAATGGACGTGTCATTTTCAGAGGAACTCTATTGAATTCATGTAAGGGTTAAGGAGAAAATAATCATGAAATTTCAATTCCCCTGGGAGAGGAATCGAGCGCAACACTTTTAAGTAATACAAGTAATACTTTCAAGTAAGGATTCGTTAAGTCACTTCAACTTGCAATTAAACATGGGCATTGGAGCATCAAATTTGATTTAATTAATATTAAATTGTAAACTCAAGAATAACTTTTCATGATTTCTATGGATTTCTATGGAAGAAAAATCACAGTTTTCCATAAGTTTTTCAACGAAATTTTGAATTTTCAATAAAGAAATTTCTAGTGAAATTTGTCATGATCACTTCAGCATATTTTTTATCTGCAAAATATACCTGTTTTCATGTTCACGCTAGACTCTGTTGCCACGTAACTCTTGCCCTTTTTCTTCAAATTGTTCCAACAATTTTTCAACATGTCAAGAGTACGGAGGCGATCTGCATTGACATTATATTCTTCGTGAACTCTGTTCCAAGCTTTGTCTTTATCGCCTTTTGATATAGAATTGGTTTGTTTGCATTCAATTATTTCACCAAACTTCTGGATGATAGTGACAAGAGACATCTTTTCATCTTGAGTGAAATTTTGGGCTCGAATTTTGGTGGATTTTCTACAAATATAAAATGATTTTTAAAGTTGAGGAAAATAATGTATGGACACGATGATTCATTGTGAAAAACTTTGAATTAATAGACTTATTTCATCCTTACATGTCATTGTTAGCCATTGCATATTGGATTTCTTTAACGCCTGTCTTAATGGAACACTAATATTCTATGCTTTTCTTTTTTATTAGACACAATTAACTAGAAACCAGTAACTGAGGAAATAAAAACTGAGTTTTGTTATCTTAAATCGTTCGACATTTCCCTCTCGATTGATGCCGGTAGGAGAAATCATTCCCCTCACGTAGGTTATATGGTGGGACGTCCCAACTTAACTTAACCACACGTTAACCAGGGTTAACTTGAACCGAAAACTGACCCTAAATGTGGCGTAGCTTGGACGCCCGTCGGAGTCACGTACCCTCCGCGCACGTAAAATGGTTGGGCACGTAAAATACTTCACGTAAAATACCGAGTATAATAAACGTGTAATACCACGTACTATACATGGATTTTTCGGGAGGTAAATTACTTGATGTAAAATACCCGAGGTAAAATACTCGAGGTATGATACGTACTTAATTATACCGATGTAAAATACCGAGGATTTTTGGCGCCTGATGTCGGCCACATCGCACACTAAATTGGACATGCCCAGGGGTTAGGTCATGTCCATTCAGTTGTTGGGAAGCTGACAAGATTTTGTGTTCTTTCGGAATCTCATCCTAAGATTAAAAATATATGAAATGCCGCAAAGAGGCGGCAGGCCCACTCACAAATTTTGGGAGGAAGGTGGATTTGAACGCCGGGAAGTGGAGAGAAAGTCGGTAGCATATTGTATTATGTGCAAACAGAATTTGAAGAATTGCTCGGAGCATAGGCTGAAAGTTCACAGGTGAGTACAATAGGAGTGCTGGGTGTAAAGCACACTGGTGATTCAGGACCGACGCCGTGTCAAATTCGATTCCGTTCTCTTTCTAGAGCAAACGTGCAAGCCCCAGTCACATTCATCAAGCCCCATCCCTCCAGGAAGTCCACAGCTTTCCCACCTTTTCCACTCGTGTGATGAAAATGAAAATTGGAAAAAAACATCGCATCAATCATCAAAAGAGCAAAGTGAAGTTTCTCCATACTCTACCATCCCTCCTTCAAAACAATTGAGAGCAACGAAAACTCAAAAAAGAAAGATAGATTCGTTCGTTGACTACGTTCCTGGGGCAGAGAAGACAAGATTAGATAAAGCTCTAGGCAAGTTCATTATTGGATGTGATCTTCCCTTCACAGTGCTGGAATCAAAATATTTTAAGGAGTTTTCGAGGACTATACGTCCAGGATACACACCACTTTCTATCGATGATCCCTCAACTGGAATCCTTCACGGTGTACACGAAGAGCTGGAGAAAACTCAAGCACTGTCTTCCTCTGAAGGCTCATTGATTTTGAATAAGACCAAGATACAAGGGAAGCCACACCTCATTGGATTTATGATCTATGATCATCACAGAGCTAAATTTTTAAAAGCTTGAGAGTTGCATTGAGCAGAATCAAGTTCTTCAATCATAATCAGTGAAGCTATCGGACTTGCTGACACAAGATTGAAAAGTAAAATTTATGCTGTGATGATTGATGATGATGTCGAGTCAATTGATCGAGGGACATTCGACGACATTTGGTTGCTGCAATGCAACATCTCCTTTGCTACATCAATTGAATCAAAAATTATCGATATGGTACTGTTGAGAAAAGTGAGGTATTTGCTTAATAAGTTCTTAGTTTCTGGGATGGACCACGAATTAATTGCACGAGGAGGAGTCTCCATCCAGATCAAAGACGATACTCATGATTACCGGTGGAATTTGCTTTCCACCTGTTTGAATAATCTTCGGGTCATGACCAAGTTATGGGCGATAGGCAATTTCAGCTGAAAAAAGAAGTGATTGATATTCTACTCGATCGAGACTTTGAAGAAAAACTGGATGAAACGGTGTAGTCGTTGGAGCCTATCTACTCTCTGATGAAGAAATGTAGAGGAGTGAATATGATGATTGCTGACGCCGCAGAGGAATGGTTGACGCTGTTGTCTTCTGAGAAGTTTGATTCAATAAAAAATGAAATCAGCAACCTACTTTCTCCCATCATGTTGACAGCCAATATACTCCATTCAGTCTACAGAGGAAAACAATTTGAGAAGGATCGTATTCTCATGCAGGAAGTGATGATGTTTTTAATCGAGACAATTGAGCCAGAAGGAATGACTAGTTTTTCCAAGTTCAGAGAGTCACGAGAGATTTTCGATTCTAGTCGACTAGAAAAATATACAAATCCAAAAACCTTCTAGCAGGCAGTTTCGTCGCTGCATCCAGAGTTATCTGCCTTCGCACTCAAGCTTCTACGAATACCTGCTGTAGTACCGACAATAATAGCACACCCAACGAATATAAATAATTTAACTCCCATTCGTATGGACAAGCTCAAAGATATTTTCTATAGTTTAAATATCTGAGGAGCCTGAGTACTTCATGCAGCTCATTTGTTCGTTTTGTTTGTTACTCTGAACGTTTTCAAATTATTAACTATATTATTGTTATTCTTGTTTTATTATCATTCTCACTCATGTGATATCAACGATATATAAACAAAGTTTATAATATACTAATTAAGTAGAGAAGGATTTCAATAAACTGAATAAATAAAATTGGTTTAATACGAATATTTTTACATGTGATTTGGAGTGGCTCGAGATAATCGTCAAATATTGATAAAAAAAATTGAATAATTCTCATTTAAAGATTATTGATCCGCACAATTTTCCACACCTTTCTCAAGACGTATAACAGAAGAACACTAAAGTTATTCCACCCATCAATCTGAGTCTATTGAATCGTCGTAACAGTCATCGTAGAGTTCATTCATCTTCAAAGAATAGTAAATATCCACGAGCTTCATTGACCGATCAACTGTGAGACGATTCCGCAGATCAGAGTGCACAAAAGCCCACGAGGAGAAGTCTCTCAAGTTGTGCCGAGGATGCCGGGATTCTCAGTAATTTAACTGCGAGAGCTGACAGCTCAGGGTAGAATGAAGCAGCTGTAGTCCACAATGCTTCAGGTGTTTGATCCATGTTTCGTTCCATCAATTTCTTAAAAATCTTGGTGTTATGCTGGTATGCCAAGAAACCTGACTCTTCAGTTATTTTATGCAAGTTCAGCTCTTGCATTATAAAGTGAGTAACCATTGCCATTTTTTTCTCATCATTGATAAATCTCTTACCTCGGTATTTAGGATTTAAAAAATTAGAAGTCAACATAATTGGTGTTAAGACCTTCTTGAGTCGCTTTTCCACCAATTCCTGCAGATCATTGTTAACAGTGGGTATAGCCAATTTTAACCATTCCTCGCCCCCTTCTGATAGACTACAATGCGATCCTTGACAAACATTTATCAATTCACATATCGGATCAAAAATTAGAATGTTATCTAGAAGCTTGCACTCAAATGAGGGATCTCTCAATATAGTTTCACTTCCCTTACTCAAAGTGATCGTCTTTGTTTCAATTAGTGTCTTCATGAAGTGCAAATTCTTGGTAAGGCACCTGAATGCATCGCGATTACTGCACCACCTAGTCTCACCTGCCAGGATGATTCTAGAGCCTCCAAGTTCTTTCAAGTGATGTTCAGCCCCAGGAACGTTGAATTGTCGTAAAAGTTTATTTACTTTTTGTGTCAATTCTTTAGGTACTAAATCTTTCGCTAGTAAATTCCCACTGTGTCTATGGCAAGTTGTGTGCCAAATATTCACTTTATTTCCCATCGCCATCATGGATGCATTGATGCATGATGGATGGATGGATGATGCTGGATGATTATGGATGATGCATTATCCGAGACAACAGCATAAATTTTCATATTGAACTTCACCTGTGCTAAGTCGATCTCTTCCTCAACGATCGTTTTCAATTGATCTGCTGTTTCTCGTATGCCAGTCAAATCCCACGATTTTAGAAAGATACTTTTGGAATTCACTGTGTGAATCGTACAGACGACATTTTTGGTATTAGCCGATGAATTTGTCCACCCATCAATGAGCAAAATACCTTCAGAACCTCGACAAGAGATGCACTCTTCGACAACACGTTGATGCACTCTGTCCAATAACTTTGTAGATAATTTTTTCCTTGTTGGAGGTCTATAATTTGGGCGCAAAAGGCTTATGAAGTTTTTGAAATGTTGAGATTCCACCACATTGAATGAGATGTTGCATCCAAAAAAAAGTCGCTAGAGCAGTGGCAATTTCATCATCTGTTGAAAGTTGTGAAAGTTCCAGCGATTTTCGTGCGTCTAATCGTGGTTTTTTTGGGACTGATGACTGAGTTGATCTTTCTGTCTGTGAAAATGAGGATATGAAGAGTCCCTGTTTATTAGAATATCAATAACTGTAAAAAGCCACATTAATTCAGTTGAATTATATTCTCACTGTTTACTGACTGAACTGTTTCGCTTTGATAGACTCATCGTATCCTTGGAATAAAATCCACTCGTTCTATCAATTATGTGTTCACTAGTTACACATACGCGTTGCTTTGCCGTAAAATTTACCGGTTTATTACACATGGGTTTTAAAGTGCGTTTATTATCTGCTTGACCGACGATGCACCATACCACAGTATAAGAAGGCCATCGATCATACCAAATAATGACGGTAGATGGAAGCCTTAATCTTGAAGATTTAAGTCTCCAGTTTTATTTTATCAATCAAAACTTAATTACATTTTATACATCAAATAAACGTAAAATACGTAAAATACATTCGCACCACAATTCCAAAATGTAATATACGGTATATTACGTTTTGTACATTATCTAGATATCTAGATCATTATCTAAGATACGGGTATTGTACATGTAACGTAAAAAACCCTAGGACTAACCGTTTTACCCAACCCTGAATACGCCTACCTTCACGTCGCCAGCCTTTTCCCGTCATATGATGACCTGTTGTGACCTTTTCTACTCCCCACTCTATCCACTCCACTGCGGAAAAATACTGGATTCCCATTGGTCAACATTAAATATTAATAGTTAAAAAAATGTCAACAAAAATTTTTTTCAACTTTTTTTTTATATTCATGGGAGTTCAATCTATCATTGAACGAGAGGTGTATTAGCTATTTAGAAACACCCTATGTATAGGGGAGAGCCGGGCAAAATGGGACGCCGGGCAAATTGGGACAGTGTGGAAAGGCGTTTTTAACTCATTCCCAGCCATTTTTTTTTCGTCAAAAAATGTTGGAGACAGTCCAGAAGCGTCCTAGAGTTTTTTCCAAATTCAATTTTTTCTTTTAATTATACTCGCGGTTTTGTATTTTTTACAACAATCTGAAAAAATACGCTATCTAACTTGAATCGCTCATTTTTTTATTTCTGCTGGTGAAATGTTTTTATATATGAATTAAATTTTTTTTTTTATTAGTTAAGTGTAATAAAATTATCGAAAAACTGAAATGTTGAACAAAGGATTCTTACGATTTCTTTTTTCCCTTCAGCTTCCGCATCTCCACCGCATTCTATTCTATCTTGTGTCCCATTTTGCCCGGACCTTCCCTAGATATACAGTATATAATTTTTTCCTTTCCCAATTTTTTCACTTGCAGCTCAGAATGAGCTTGAGTTTATAGCTTTACACAAAATTTCTTATGTTTATCATTTTTATAGTATAAATGTTAAAGCGAAGAAAAAAAGAGCTCTGGAATTATTTTTTACAGCGTGCATAAGTTCATCGAAAATGTGGAAGCATACAGAAAAGACCATCTCGTCATTACTGTATCGTCTCTTTGATTACCGCGAAATCTTTATTTATTGAATTTCTCATCCCTTTTCGGAATATCATAACTGAATAGTTTTTCCACTGAACAAGCTAATTTAATGAATGGGTGTGTTATTTTTGTCTCTCGTCACTCAAATTTTTATTTGTTATACTTGCAAATTGGTAATGGACATGATAACGGAGTTCTCAAGCAAAGCTTTCAACCAGGCTGGAAGGCAGGAAAAAGCTTTTTCCGTGGTGAGCCCGTAAGTTTCAACGTGGGTGACAATAAGTCCCTACAAATAACTTCCCACCTCTCTTTGGTTGTTCATAATGTGGGTGCTCTTTTAGTCACCTTCGTTCCCACTAGTTTGTTGAACCTGCAAGTTTCAATGCAAGGAACAGCAAGTGGGTGGGGAGCTGAATGAGTGAGCGGGAGGTCGAACCGCAGAAAACGAACGGGAGAGAGAGAGACTTTCCAACGGCTCATACGAGCTTCTGTAACTTTTTTCCAGCCTACGAAAGCATATATAATGCTCCAACAGAAAATTAATACGCTTGCGCAGATTCTTACTGTACATTGTGCGCGGGGAAAATTGAATGTCGGTGTATCCGACCTCTAGAGAGTGTCGTATGGATGCGTCTATGTATATGAGAATCTATATACGGTGACTGGCTCTGACAGGCGCAAGAGTGGGCTGTGAGCAAAAGGAGGCGAGGAAATTGAGAACTACGGAGTGGGGGATGGAAAAGAGTGAGAGAGGAGGCAGGGTTGCCATGGGAGCTACCCGGCCGGGGAGCAGAGGAGCTCCAGTCTTGCCGCGGCGACTCCAGCGTGCTTTAACTCTAGTTTTAAACCGATATCTTTTTTTTTTCTCTATAATATCAAATGAGTCAACCAACCAGTGCATTATGATCGAATGGTAAAGCCCAGTTTAAACGTAAAAGTGCATGCGTGGATGTATGTGTCTGTGTGTGTGTGCCTTCAATTGTCTTATTTTATGGTGCTGAGTAACAAACACTAAAAGGTAAATTTTTCCATTTAGTTTGATATGAAAAAATATGGATTTGTCACGACCCAGCCGTACATCTGCGTATTTCTAGGTTGAAAAGAAATATCTTCGTGAGCTTGGAGGATGAATTCAAAGTGCAACATAATGGATTAAAATATCCTTAGAATAATTTTCTTGAGACGACATACTTGTTTATTCAGTCTCACAATTTCCTCCCCCTCGTAACCTTCTCTAGCAGTTGGTTGAATTTTCAGGAGTATAGAAGTTGTACATTCGATATAAATTCTAATATACGAACCGCCTAGAACATTTAACAACGTAGAAATATGTACAGAGGTGACTATTAGCACCAGATAATTTTTTTCACTCACCCATCTCGACCCAGAGTATTCTAGTGTGTGGAATTTTCAAGGTGACGATTTGTGAGTCAACGTACACACAACGTACATCGCACTCATGTACACATCTTTTAGGGTGCATATATGTATTTACTATATGCCTTTAGCCTTAGTCTTCAAGGTACATTATTAGTATGGTCGTTTAGTTTTTATGTGAAGACGATCGTTAATGACTTATCATCCCAATCCATTTCTCTGTATTTCCTTCTCATCCGTTCTCACATCCTCCTTAGTTCTTTTTCGTTATTCATTAATTCCTGTCTACTCGCCACCATCTTTCACAGGATATACACAGGATAAAATACGGATAAAACAACTGAAGGAAGGAGAGATAGGACGGGGGGGAATTGAAAATATTTGATTGCACCAATGCCTATGGCTTTGTGACTATACAGTTTCGGCAGCTGAAGTTGCTCCTTTATATTTCTGGATTTTGGAACATCACGATCTCCCTCTATATAGCTATATTCTTTCGTGGGTGCTAACTGTTCTCTATAAGCTGGAGTATCCAGCTCGGGCAAAAAATGGAATGAAGGTGATTACAATCGATATTTCCAGGGGTATCTAGCAAGATTCCTAGGCTTATTGGTAATAAAAGTTTTCGTACCCAGAATACATAAAAAAAATAATTTTGGCCAAATAGCTTCCAAGAATACACATAAGTTGGTCATATATGACATTTAATTTCAATTAATTGCATACTGGATATAGAATTGACATAGTTTACATAATGATCGATATTTTTCATCATTTTGTTTTAGAAACGTCTGCCTCTGTGGTTATCACTCACTTGATAATTCCTGAAATTACTACTATGGAACTGTGAGCTGTTTTAAAACAGAATTCTCATGGAAATTTTATCTCATATTTAAATTGACTTAGATCACCCATTTTTTCATGCTGTCCATTTTATCTGATTATCTCACTAAACAGTGATATCTAAATCTTTTCCCTTTCAATTTACGTCTCCACCTACGCAGGTTGTCATTGTGTCCCACAATTTGAATAGTGAATATAATTAGTGTCCTATTGACCACGAAATCAAATTATGCACTCTACCATCTAATTACTTTCCATAATTCACTTTACCGAAAAACAAAATAAAAAATTTAGAAATTACTTGAAAATGCAAAAATAAAAATGATTAATTAATTTACTATCAGAGACCCTATTTTCCTTTACCCTGTTCTTCCATTTTGACCAGCTATTCCCCTTTTTTCCACCGTAATAAACCTGCTTCTCCGTTCTTGCCAATACATAGACAGAACAATAGCGGAAAAAGTACGTGGCTAGTCACGTAATTGTGGGCCGAAAAAGAAATTTGGTACGCTTCATCTAAAACCTGGAAAAAATTAAGAGACGAGCAGTAAATTTCGTCATTTGCTGCAGAAAATTTACGTTACTGCCGAGTATTTATTTCCAAAATAGTAAAAATTACAGAGGTTCGAGTAAAAATTACGGTAAATCATGTAAAAATCACTCAATTGCTCGTAAATGTTGCGTGACAATGGCCGTTTTTTTCATGAAACACAGAACCATCATTTTCACCTAACTCCATTAACAATTTCCCTACGGGCTTGAGTCATGCAATTTCAACTTACTTCTGTTAGCCATTTTCAAGTCACTGAAATAGTAGAATGGTGAAGGCGTTAAATTGGTTTCTCGGTTTCTGGAGAATATAGTGAAATGGGAGGGAGAGAGGTAGACAATGAAAGAAAGATAGTAGTCGTCCACCCTCTGCCGTAATTATTATTGCAAATAAAAAAGAAAGAACAAATTGGGAAACCCTTCAGGAAACTTTATAAAACTAGGTATCGTAATTCATGCACCTCAGAAGGTCCCTTTTTACCGACCGAGTCGTAAAATCTACTATTTGAACGTTTCAGACTAGAACTTTTACGGAACTTTTTACGCACTTCTTCCAGTATTTTTCTCTCCGTGCAGGCAATTCTCTTATACCATTCGACCCCTCTGTCTAATGAATCAACCTCTGCATTCCACTTTGCACCATTATCTCTTTCATTTCTATTTTCTCGACTGTTCTGCTGGGTCAATCTTATCCTATTTTTTTTCATTTGTTAGCTTCGCACATCCGCCTTGAAACCCCTAGTAGATATTTTAGTTGAATGGGTGGCATAACTTGTCAGGTTGATATTTGATGGGTAAACATTTTTCTAGGTGTACGGGGCGAACGCGTTTATCTATGATATAAGAAAACAAAAGTTTTGTAAAACACACGCGTCACTGTTGACTATAAGTTCATATATTGATTATAGGTCGCATTGGCCCAGGCGCATGTAAGAAAGGGGCCCAGTCCTTCATTATCGACTTACTCAGTGCATTGCCATGGCAGTAACAGTCGCCCCGTAATGTCTGGGCAACATTGCATCATGCTTAGAGTTCCACCAGAGAAATAAGAGGTGCGATAAGTACCTGCTTAGCTCAAAACATACCCGGGTAGTTTGCGATCATTAAACCTCAGCAGTAGTGAGTTAAGTTGAAAAAATGATGGGAAACCGAAAGTAATAACACCATGAACTGACCGAAATGGAACACCTGGAGAATCACTAAGCCGATTCCTATCGCGCAGTGTCACTCAACAGCATGACCACTGGCAGTCAGCCAAACTCTCTCATACATTCAGATGTGAATCTTGCGCACGCCAAGAAGACTCCAATTCTTCGACCTGGCAAGGCAAATATAAATGCCTCTGAGTTCGATATTTTTTGCAATTTCTAATTTGTATTAGGACGATATCAAAGCGTGTACTCTTATACACGGAGAGAAAAATACTGGAAAAAATATGTAGAAAGTTCCGAAAAATTCAAGTGTGAAAGGTAAACGTGGGGCGAAATGTAAAATCAGAAAAAGTGCCGATCATTCTGAACATTTTACCACTCGGTCGGTAAAAAGTCACCTTTAGAGGTAGAAAAATTACGGCACTCAGTTCCGTAAATTTTGCCCAAACTGTTTTTTTTTTAATAATAATAATTGAGGGAGAGGATAATTAATTAATAGATAATTTAATTCGATCAAAATTTATTTTATTCGGGCACTTTTTTCATTGATTATTAATTTTAACAATGTTCAAAAAATAATACTATGTTTTAACAAAATGGTATTTTTACATGGATCGAACAAGACGTGTGATGAAACAGCTATTCGATTCCAGCATGTTTGAGGCTATCAAAACTGTTTGGAATGAAAATAAATGTAAATCAACTAATAAAAAAAACGAAAGACCGCTTAATAATTGTAAATGAGGTTATGGATGGCAAGGGAAAACCCATTTCTGATTGTTCACTATTGGTTATTTATATTATCACTTCGTGGGACTTGGAATGTTGGTTAGGATAATGATGTACTTACTTTTAAACACTAATAACGTGTTCAGGTATTCTTTGGTCCACGCACACTGTTCAAAAATCACCTGTACTGTTTTTTTATGCTTTCGACAGTAATAATTGGCCGGGTGACGTGATCCGAACGTGGACGATGATTCGCGATCAGGTATGGCCAGCAGTCGTACCACCAACGCTGTCTAGGAATTTTTCAATTCGGTCACGTAAAAATTACGGTATCTCACGTAAAATTTAAATGAAACTGGATAATTTTTACGTTACTCAAAATAATTTTTACTGGAACTGTGATAAATTTTATAAGTTTGTAAGAAATTACGTGATAGTCACGTAAATTTCCCAGAGCAAATAATAAAATTTACTGTTCACCTCTCATTTTTTCCCAAATTCTGCAGTAAAAAACAAGGAAATGACACGCCAGCCCACAATTACGTGATTAGTCACGTAATTTTTCCTGTATTTTTCGCTCCGTGTAGGAACTATAATAACAAATTATTCCTATTAACTTTAAACATTTCGTAATTTGAATTCATCGATATAGCAATCATTTTTCCAATCAAAATTTTCAAAAGAAAGTTTTTTTATGATAAATATAATACTGTTCTTGAAACAGAACTTGCCAAGCGTTACAGGAAATTTCATTCGTATTCTATACACATATACTTAACCATCGAGAACCACATAATAAAAACAACAACACAACAAAAAATGAGAAGCTGATATGGTATTTTACCCTCAACCGATATTCGGAAGATATAAACTTAAATACAGATGAAGATACAGGGATAATACCAAAAGCATTTGAAAGTTAATGTTGTGAGCTCCAAATGTATATGTATTCCTTAACCAAAAAAATGGCGAGTCTTGAAAGTTGAAAATTTCAAATCATTGAAAATGAGACCGATTTTTCATATTTGAACGTTCATAATTTAAAAAAAAATCAGAAAAAATGATTCCAGCAAAATTATTCGATAAGAAGTAGAACATATTACCTAAATGAAAGTTGTTGAGCTTGACAGAATAGTATATTACGCACGCGTTTTATACAACATTTTATGTCATCGCGAATCCGCGATTTAACCGAGCGAAGCGAGGTTAGAATTGCGCGATTACGGACACCGATGGCATAACATGGCATTTACATCATCGCGGCCGGTAAAACTCGTTTCTAACCTCGCTTCGCTCGGATAAAGACGAGTATTCGGCCCCGATGACATAAAATAGCATCATAACCACAGCGAAATAAGTGATTCTGACTCACGCGCGTTATTAAAGCCGCATTTGTCCGATTCACTTTTTCCGTCCGAGGCGTGAAAAATACTATTTCGTGTTTGAAGGGTCAGGATTCAAAGCCTGGAGTGAAAACAGGGAATGACTATAGTATCACATGAAAGTTAATTTTTTTGGCTTTTGAAGCATATCACACAGAGTCCGCATCGTTATATCCTATCTATAAAAGGTGATACACCAAAATTAAGTTGGGCGAGAGTAAGATTGGCTAACTTCATGCGTAAGACTTTTCACTCGTAACCCTATTTCTCATTGGTCAATTGGCTACGTCATCATCAACACCACGGAATCAAACGGCGCGCGGAGCGCGCGTTCGGTAAGATACTAAAGAAGCCTCAAAGTAAGACCCGTGAGCGTGACGTGACATGAAATTTTATACCCATTTTGAAGTGTGAAATGCCATCTCTTCATTGGGCGTGAAAATACGGCGATCGAAAACCATTTGAAAGCACATATCGTAAGCTTTAAAATAGTGAAGCATATGTATTCTTTAAACAAACCGATAGAGACCTTAACTTAGAGAGTGGAAAGTATCAATTGACTCAGCGAGTCATCATATATGCGATTGAATGTTCGAGTGAGATTTGAAATTGTACTTACTATGTTCCGCATTTTTTCAGGATCGAGAAAGAATTTGAAGCGGTTCAGTTAGTTTGATAGTATAGGGGGTGATGTATTCTGTACTGACAATCAGATTTTCAAAGAATGGGATCATAAAATGCCATCGTTTCTAATAGTTACATGCATGTTAATGGGCGAATATAAACCTTCCGAGCAAGCATTATATCTATTAAGTTGAAGAAATATATGTACTGTATATGAGTCAACTTTCAGGGACATTTAATATTGATCATACTTACTGGTTGGGTTATGTTTTTTTTATTAGTCGGTTCATGTGTGTTTTTACCTCTTCTGCCTTCTTTTCGTAAACATAAAATTAATGAACACTCAACGCCGATGTTATTTTAGGCATGCACTCCGAGAGATGAGATAGTCTTGGATAGAAATGCTGGGAAGGGATGGAGGATTGCAGCAGCTCTACTGTATCCCATTCTTGTCCAACCCCTTTCTTCTTGACGGTTAGTTGCCTTTTAGCCCCACTTTTCGAAATATTTCGGCCTGTGGTCTCTATCCAATTCATTTCGATTAATTAATCGAACCTCTCTTTAAAATCATTTGTGAGTCTATATAATTATTAATTTATCATTAATAATTAGAACGATAAATATAAATAAATAAATATATATAATATAAACGACCTTAACCTGATTCACTCCTGGTGAAATTTTGTATTGTTCAACCTATCAGATGGTTCCATTCTACCCCACTTCCCTGCTTTGTTCCAACCCCAATTATATTTAAGTGGACTTATTTTTATCTGCTAACATATTTTGCGATTATCCTACTTAAACATTACTATTGGATTTATGAATCACCCAATTGACCCCTTGAGCTAATTGGTCTGCCAGTCAATTGAGGCGAAAGGATATACCACGAATTATTGCTCAAATACCGCGAATGTTTACATGACCTACCCGTAATTTGTCTGCGTTATCACGTCCAAATTACCCAAAACTTCTGAGAAATGTCATATTCATTAAACTTTGCATGAAATCATATTTCGCTGCTAGATTGCAGAAATTTGACATATTGTTTTTTTTTGCTTTTGTCGTTTTGTGTAACATTCAATTATTTTAGCCCCTAAAAATTCTAAGACCAAGTTACGAACAATTAAGTTATATACCCTTTACTCTAACTCCCTGTTCAACCCCCCGTCTAATCGCTCCGTCGGAGTTTCTTTCATTCCCCTTTTATTATGTTACGCTCTTCGTTAATTCACATTACCTTGCTGTTAACTTTGATCATGTCTTTTCTATTGTCTACGCGGAGAGAAAAGTCCAAGAAAATTTACTGTGCCGAGCACTACAATTGTGGTGCAAAATGCTAGAATACTAGAACTTCTTTGATTCACAAATAAAAATTACTATCAATATGTCAAATTTTCTTATACATTCCGTAATTAATCATGTTTGGCTCCATAAAATTTACTAAACAGCACTATAAAATTTAAAGGTCTATCATTTTTTGTTTGAGTGTGAAAGAAAAATTGATAGAAATCCTTCAAAAATTCCTATCCAGATCGGTATTTTTTATTGTGCTCTCTTTTAATTTTTCCTGTGCTACACAGCATTTTTCCCAAACATTTTTTAACCCAATATGATTGGTTAGCGATGAACGTCAAATGTTTCCGATTCTAGCCGAAGTTGAATTTAACAATGGTAACTGTTACGACGACTATGAATTTTTATTTGGCCGATAATGAAGTTTTGTTCGGCCGATGAAGAAATGTTACTGCATGGCATAGTAATTTTTCTCAGGCCTGCAGTTTACACCTAGATTGTAAGGCAGCACAGTCATTTTTATCAAAATCACAATATAAAAATTCATAGATTCTTCTCTCCGTGTATTGCACATTTAATGTATATTTCAACAAGGAAAATGATCGGCTATAATAATTGATCAAAAGGAAATATCTTCGAGAATAGATATTTCTATCAGTTATGAAATCGATATTGTGATGATGAACGTCACACAACAAATGTTGTTTCCACATCTATAACTAAGTGAATGAGTGAACAATTATACTCGTTTGTGAATGGATGAAGCAGTGTGAAATCCTATATATTAAAAATGAACATGGGTAAATTGTATCGTTCGAAAAGTTCCATTTATCGATTGATTACTTGCTTCTTTTCGATCATCATTCTGAAATCGATATACAATGCCATACTGATTATCTGGTAAGTTTTGTTCTGTCATTGTAAAACGCTTTGCAAGGTGCGCATTGTGTGCTTTAATAGCGCTAGTGAAGTATTATAAGCATCTTGATAATGTATCGATTGGAAATGTGAAATTATCGATCGATCATTTCGTTTTTGCTTCCGAATGGAAGCCTTATATTCAATTGATTTTTCGATTATCTAATTTCAATTGCAAACGACTGCGCTGGAAAATACGGAATTTTGAAGATTAATTTTGAGAAAATTCCACATAAATATTGTAAAATTTGTCGCTAAAAATGTGAATTTTGAACTTATGATAGCTGAATCCAAAGTGGTGGGGTAAGTCGCAGCACTCTCTTCATCACGGTGGACATTTCCTCCAACCCTTAGCATAAGCTTTAGCGTAAAGTTTGTAGCGAAGATTTTCTGGGAATGAAAATGCTGCATGGGAAAGTATTTGATTCTTCCACTCGTTTTATATTTCGTAGCGGCGGCAACGGTCTCCCTTTCAGCTACTCTCTTCATAGATTGTCAACATAATCTACGGTCGCTATGAAAAGCGCGGAGACTCCCAGAAAAACGTATCCTCTACCACTTCATAGGACATTCTCACTTATAAGCATCTTATAACTAGCTCCAGTTGCAGGCATAGTAGTCTGTCATATTCACTTAGAATAAAAAGTTCTATAATGAGTCTCCTACTAGATCTCCAAGGCTTCAAACAACCAAATAATGATTTTTTTTGAAGGAGCCTGCAGCGATCCGTATTAATTACGCTATGGCTGCAAATATGAATCAATTTTAGGGAGGTTACATTATTTCAAAACCTCCCATGCGCTGGGATATCAATAAACAAACTGTTAGAATGAGAAAAACCAACAGGGAATCACATGGAATTCAGGCAATTTTCTACACAATGACTTGAAACATGTATTTCCAATGATCTTGCAAGATGGGAATTGCATTTTTGTTAAGGGTTTAGAAAAACGATAATGGCTCCAAGAATTCATTGGATTCTCCATGCGAATTATGGAGTTGGCTGAGATTGATTGCCTTCCTTTCAGGAGATTGACTGCATCGAATGTCATAGCATACAGTTGTTATCATTTATGTGCACGAACATACAATTATGCGTAAGTAAATATACACAAATTGTGGGGATGGTTTTGTCATAGATATGGTTCATCCCCATCAAAGAAAAAAACCACCATGCGCTATTACTATATTCAGAATTTTTCGGCAATGCAAAATGAGAATATTGATCAGCTTTCTCACGATTTTATCCTACAATACACATGGAAATGCTCTAATGAAACACTGTGGAAACTTCCTGAAGTGGTGCAACAGACAAGGAAACTACGGAGAAGCCTCTTGATAGCCCTCAATGAGCCAATGAAATCAAGTGACAATTTAAGTTCTAAGTGTGGTAAATAAAAACACTTCTTATAACATAATGTGTTGATGAAAGTAAATATTATTGTACAGTATATAAGTAAATGTCGCATATTTTTCCTTGTATCTTCTCCTTCTCTCTTTTCCCAAATAATTACATCTCTGAGATCAAAATTCTCTACAACTTAAGAAAATCTCATCTTTTAATTTTTCATTGAGATGGCAATCTTTCAGAGCTCAGTTTTTATCATTCTACTCAGTTGTTCGACCGGAGTGGAATTTCGCAGCTCCTGTATCTCATTGGAAATGTTCATCCCTTGTTTTCTGCTCTCAAAATGAAGAACAAAAATGGTTTGACGACTCGGGAATGGGGAAGAGGGAAAAATAAAGTCTATATATGTTGAAGCATGGAAGAGAAGAGCATTCATTCTATTAAACGAATTCGTTAGCATTGTGTAATAAAGATGTAAGTGTGGAAAGTTAATTGCGCTTGAGCGTGTTGGATATTCAACTGATTTATCATTGTTCTCCAATCGATTTTTTTTTTAAGGGTGGATTATCATGTTTCCATTAGTGAGAAGTTTACGTTTACTTGAATGGTCAATTGATTCAAGTGAAAAATGATTAAAGATAAAGCTCGCTCTCGGGTATACTCATCAATTAAATGAACTAGACATTTGTCTAACCATTATACAACGCAAATGGGTGATGTTTTCCACATCCCACGCGGAGAGAAATATTACAGAAAAATTACCGAAAATTTCACGTAATCCACCAGTGAGAATCGTTTTCGGGGAATAAATCTAGAACTTTCAGTAAATTTTCGGGTTCTGTCACTGAAAAAATACGAAAAAATGACGTAATTTTCCTGAGTGTTTTAAAATCGAATGGAACTTCAAAAGTTATTATGCCTCAGTAATTTTTCTTGAATATTTATCTCCGTGCATGTGCGACCACATATGACGCGATGGTGCAGACTTATGCCATTCAGTGTGAGCAAGGTGCACAATTTGAGCAGCGGCACATACTCCAACAACAACAACAACTGGAAAAAAAAATAGCGAGTGGTAAATTGTGGATGCTTCTCCAGTAGTGGATATTTATGATGAAAATGTCAGTCCAATGGAAATGTCCAATAATACTAAAATATTTTGTGATGAAGTAGTTGACGCCGTTCACCTCTCCCACATCTCAGATGATGAGGCTGTTCAACCAACTGATACTCCTCTCATCAATGCCTCTTATACGCCGGCGATTGGTTTCCAGGGTAAAAAGTTCAACGTTGGACCATTGGAAGTTGTAGTTTCCAGCTCGAATCACATGTGAATGTGATAATAGTCATTTCTCGGAGACAATGAGTGAACAACTAATTTTTGATTGCGTTATGAATTACGTCATTTCTCGGAGACAATGAGTGAACAACTAATTTTTGATTACGTTATGAAACGATACATAAATAAATCCCTCATCAATGAACTCATCGATAAAGATGATTTTATGTCTATTGGTAAAGAAGATTATCAATTGAATTCTAATGGGACCGTCTGCATTTTGAATCCAACGGAATAACGGGAAAACTGTAAGTTTTTCGAAAATTTTGAAAAAACATATTACAACTACAGATTATTCTTTTTTTAATGATATCATTGTATGCCAATAATATTATTAGTCTAATAATAAGATTATCACACTTCTAATGATATCAGTCTGATGATAATAACCCAATAGACCAAAAAAAGATGATCTCACAATTCATGTAAGTTTTTTTTCTAGATGACGTTACCAAGTATGTTCCTGTTCAGCCTGAGAGATGATAAAATTTTCGAAGAGATACTAGATCTATCAACTAAATTAAACGGTAATTTCATCGAAATCGCAACCCAGGTGGGGATTAACCATTGGTCCGAGCTTGGGCCAAGCTCGGACCAAGCCTAACTTAGCTTGGCTCAAGCTTGGAATTCAAGATTGTACCAACCTTGGTTAT